GGCAGGCTGGGTGGTGTATGAGGCAGGCTGGGTGGTGGTGGTGTATGAGGCAGGCTGGGTGGTGGTGGTGTATGAGGCAGGCTGGGTGGTGGTGGTGTATGAGGCAGGCTGGGTGGTGGTGGTGTATGAGGCAGGCTGGGTGGTGGTGGTGTATGAGGCAGGCTGGGTGGTGGTGGTGTATGAGGGAGGCTGGGTGGTGGTGGTGTATGAGGCAGGCTGGGTGGTGGTGGTGTATGAGGCAGGCTGGCTGGTGGTGTATGAGGCAGGCTGGGTGGTGGTGGTGTATGAGGCAGGCTGGGTGGTGGGATGTATGAGGCAGGCTGGGTGGTGGTGGTGTATGAGGCAGGCTGGGTGGTGGTGGTGTATGAGGGAGGCTGGGTGGTGGTGGTGTATGGTGGTGGTGGCTGGGTGGTGGTGGTGTATGAGGCAGGCTGGCTGGTGGTGTATGAGGCAGGCTGGGTGGTGGTGGTGTATGAGGCAGGCTGGGTGGTGGTGGTGTATGAGGCAGGCTGGGTGGTGGTGGTGTATGAGGCAGGCTGGGTGGTGGTGTATGAGGCAGGCTGGGTGGTGGTGTATGAGGCAGGCTGTGGTGGTGGTGTATGAGGCAGGCTGGGTGGTGGTGTATGAGGCAGGCTGGGTGGTGGTGGTGTATGAGGCAGGCTGTGGTGGTGGTGTATGAGGCAGGCTGGGTGGTGGTGGTGTATGAGGCAGGCTGGGTGGTGGTGGTGTATGAGGCAGGCTGGGTGGTGGTGGTGTATGAGGCAGGCTGGGTGGTGGTGGTGTATGAGGCAGGCTGGGTGGTGGTGTATGAGGCAGGCTGGTCGTGGTGGTGTATGAGGCAGGCTGGGTGGTGGTGGTGTATGAGGGATCCTGGGTGTATATAGATCACACTTTACTCACAAGGATCACCCAGATATCCCTGCCCTTGACCAAGTTCTTAAGTGTTCTCACATAACTTATAAGATGACAGTGTCCTCGTCATTCGTCTTGACGACCTCCACACTACAGGACGTCTGTGCAAGCAGAGACCTTGGGGCCAGATTCACGAAGCAGTTACGCAAGCACTTACGAACCTTTCCATCTTTTCTCAATCTTTGGCGGTTTTGTTTACAATTATTAAACAGTTAATGAGCTTCGAAGCACCAGGAGGCTGTTTATAACAATAAGAACAGTCGATTGGCAAGTTGTCATGCTTGTAACTTGTTTAATAAATGTAACCAAAGCTGTCAAAGATTGAGAAAAGATGTACACGTTCGTAAGTGCTTGCGTAACTGCTTCGTGAATCTGGCCCCTGGGAGTTAGACAGCTGCTACGGGCTGCTTCCTGGGGAGGGGGGGGGGGGGTGTAACAAAAAAGGAGGCCTGGTCGTGGACCGGACCGTCCAAGTGTTTGGGTGCCATTCCTTCCCTCCGTCCCATCCCTAATCCTTATCCTGATCCCTTCCAAGTGCTATATAGTCGTAATGGCTTGGCGCTTCCCCCCCCCTGATAATTCCCTCCCTCCTGGTCTTTCCTGATGAATACGTGATCCGTCATTGATGGGTTTCTCTCGTAGCATGATTCACATGGCCATGCTCAAGAGCCTCCACAATAAGATTCACTATTAGACTGTGCATCTTTAATCTTCCCTCATAAGTCTCACAATCTATTGAATTTAACTCACAATCTGGTCTTATGAGGCTCTGCTGTCTGTATTACCTCTTTTTTTATTTTAATAATGAGTCCATCTTTCTTGTGCACGCGATGAGTCACAATAACGGGGCTGAAGTATGTTGACCAATCAACACACTAGAAAATAAAGGGACGACGACGTTTCGGTCCGTCCTGGACCATTCGCAAGTCGATTGTGGTAATTCTCACAATCGACTTGAGAATGGTCCAGGACGGACCGAAACGTCGTCGTCCCTTCATTTTCTAGTGTGTGGTTTGGTCTATATCTTTCTTCTCATACAGTTCCTGCTCCTCGCTTGTGCAAGTGACGGTCGACGATGCCTGTACACACTTGTGATTACTATCTCTGAGTCTGACTTCAGATTTCATCTACGATAATATCCACACCTCGTGGAATATTAAGAGTTCTTTCTCACTTTAATGGTCCTTTATCATCAGTGTCGCTATTTTCCTATTTTGTTCCTTCTATCCGGGGCCCAAATGTTATATATCCTCTAGGAAATGCCAACCCTGTTTACGATTTTCTCTTCCAATTTCTCTTCGACAATTCGACAATATTTAATTCTGTGTGCGTGCGTGTGTGTGTGTGTGTGTGTGTGTGCGCGCGTACTCACCTAGTTGTGCTTGCCGGGGTTGAGTCCTGGCTCTTTGGTCTCGCCTCTCAACTGTCAATCAACTGGTGTACAGATTCATGAGCCTATCTGTCATATCTACATTTGAAACTGTGTATGGAGTCAGCCTCCACCACATCACTTCCTAATGCATTTCATCTGTTAACTACTCTGACATTGAAAAAAAATTCTTTCTAACGTCTCTATGGCTCATTTGGGCACTCAATTTCCAATTGTGTCCCCCTTGTCGTAAATAGTCTGTCTATCTACCCTATCAATTCCTCTGAGAATCTTGTATATGGTGATCATGTCCCTTATAACTCTTCTGTCTTGTGTGTGTGTGCGCGCGTGTGTAGGGAGCGTGGACGACCCAGTGGCCAGGTGACCGCCAGGAGAGTGGTGGCAGGAGTCGGGCGGGAACCAGTTGCACCCAGACTTGCACCGCCGCCACCTTCATGCTGGGCGTGAACCCTGCGTCAGCAGTCGCCGGCGGCCGACGACCTCCACCACCACAGTACTATATTTTCACCCCGCACCCTCCTCCCTGTGTGGCTATATGCAGCGCCCTGACTGCTGAGGACGGTAGCCTCATGCTGAGGACCGTAGCCCTGAGTGCTGAGGACGGTAGCCCTGAGTGCTGAGGACCGTAGCCCTGAGTGCTGAGGACGGTAGCCCCATGCTGAGGACGGTAGCCCCATGCTGAGGACGGTAGCCCTGAGTGCTGAGGACGGTAGCCCTGAGTGCTGAGGACGGTAGCCTCATGCTGAGGACGGTAGCCCCATGCTGAGGACGGTAGCCCTGAGTGCTGAGGACGGTAGCCCCATGCTGAGGACGGTAGCCCTGAGTGCTGAGGACGGTAGCCCCATGCTGAGGACGGTAGCCCTGAGTGCTGAGGACGGTAGCCCCATGCTGAGGACGGTAGCCCTGAGTGCTGAGGAAAGCAGTTCCCTGCCTTGGTATATTTTAACTAAATCACAATTGGCCAGTCACCAAACTTTCTCCCGTCATATGCAGTGTGACCCCGTGTTCCCGGGAAGTGGGGGGGGGGCTGTCGGTTCTCTGCCCCCCCCCCATCTTCTTTTCTTTTCCCCTTTGTCACCACCACCAGCTTTGTCACCTCCACCAGCTTTGTCACCACCACCACCATTGTCACCTCCACCACCATTGTCACCTCCACCACCATTGTCACCTCCACCACCATTGCCACAGGTTCCTCCACGTCTCTCTTCACACCTACACGAGTTATGAATACAACTGTATTATACAAGAATGCGTGTATGAAGAACACCAGATGAAGGAACACACGTGGGAACAGGACTTACACGTACAGATAGTACCTACGGGCTCACCATAGCCCGTGCTACTTGGAACTGATTGTTCCAAGTAGCGAATCTTGAACAACAGCAACAAACGTACAAATGAAGCCAATATTACGCTGAGCGCTTCACACGAAACTTGGGAATAATTTAGACAATCAAGTATTTCCAGATACAATGTATTAAACACTTAATACTAAAGCGAAGTAATCTGACGTAAGTGAGAATGTTCAAGGAATATATCAAATGATATCCAGTATAACGGTGATATCTAATGATGACTGGAATAGACTTATTATCTAATCTGTAGTTCTAGCAACAGTATGGGAGTAGTTGTAACAGCAAGCAAATACACAGGTGGTGATAGGAAAGCTCCTGGAAGATAACATAGATTAAATAAGTATGTGTGTGTGTATATATATATATATATATATATATATATATATATATATATATATATATATATATATATATATATATATATATATATATATATATATGCGAACAAGCTTGAATGAACCCCCAAACATATATGCAAATGAAAACTCCACACCCCAGAAGTGACTCGAACCCGGACCACATTGCAACTGGTGTCACGGTGCCTTACACCACTCGACCATCAGTGACCTCACATAAGGAGGTGATAGCCGAAGCTATTTGAACTCCCCCCCCCCCCAGCGGCACTTTGTGTGTGTAGAGGTTGCCACCCCCAGGTCACACCGGGGGTGGCCACCTCTCCACACAGCACCAGACAGGTGTGTGTGTGGGGCCACCTTACTCCACACACAGCACTAGACAGGTGTGTGTGTGGGGCCACCTTACTCCACACACAGCACTAGACAGGTGTGTGTGTGGGGCCACCTTACTCCACACACAGCACTAGACAGGTGTGTGTGTGGGGCCACCTTACTCCACACACAGCACTAGACAGGTGTGTGTGTGGGGCCACCTTACTCCACACACAGCACCAGACAGGTGTGTGTGTGGGGCCACCTTACTCCACACACAGCACCAGACAGGTGTGTGTGTGGGGCCACCTTACTCCACACACAGCACTAGACAGGTGTGTGTGTGGGGCCACCTTACTCCACACACAGCACTAGACAGGTGTGTGTGTGGGGCCACCTTACTCCACACACAGCACTAGACAGGTGTGTGTGTGGGGCCACCTTACTCCACACACAGCACTAGACAGCACCAGACAGGTGTGTGTGTGGGGCCACCTTACTCCACACACAGCACTAGACAGGTGTGTGTGTGGGGGTGTGTGTGGGGCCACCTTACTCCACACACAGCACCAGACAGGTGTGTGTGGCCACCTTACTCCACACACAGCACCAGACAGGTGTGTGGGGCCACCTTACTCCACACAGCCACCACCAACAGGAAAAGAAAACAATCACTGTGCTTGCCACTTATATTTATATCACATGAAAGCCAGTGAGTACAAGGTATACATATCAGAACCTCTGGAGACATGCTGTACAAGACATCAGCGCCTACAGCTGCCAGTGATCTCTTTAGGGGGTCGAGTTTATTGGGGCAGCGTTGTTCATCCTGCAAGTGTACAGACCGCCATGTACAGCAGCGCCCAAGAGGAGGAAGAAACTGGCTGGGTTTGTTCATCCTGGGGACTGGTACTCCACACGCAGCTGGGACTTCCTTTAACTCTCTATAGTGTTGTTGTTGACTTAGTAACTCGTTCTTAGTAAGGTTCGTTCTTAGCACAGTCGTCTCTTAATAATCAAGCCAATACTCACATGTTTCTTTGAAAATTGTCTCCATTTTTTGGGGGGTGTAGGAGGTTCTAGTGTTAATAATGTTGCTACCGTTCGAAATATTACTGCTGCAGCTGCTGTTGTTGATCTTGCACGTGCTTCTGCTATGTTGCATTTTGAATTTTAATTCTTATGGAGAGTGAGAGAAGGTGAGAGAGCTCTCAAAAGTGTGTGAGGGTGAGAGGGCTCTTAAGAGTGTGTGAGGGGTGAGAGGGCCTTCAAGAATGTGTGAGGGTGAGGGGCTCTCAAAAGTGTGTGAGGGTGAGAGGGCTCTCAAAAGTGTGTGAAGGTGAGAGGGGGGGCCCCTCAAGTGTGTGCCAGGGTGAGAGGGCTCTCAAGAGTGTGTGAGGGGTGAGAGGCCCCCCCAAGAGTGTGCCAGGGTGAGAGAGAGACCCCCCCATCCCAAGAGCGTGCCAGGGTGAGAGAAGGTGTAAGAGGTGCACCAGGGGAGGACCTATCAAGGGAGTGGTCAGTAGAGCTGTGACAAGAGGTTCATCAAGAGGGCAGCCGGGTCCAGGACGTTTAGAAGTGTTTCCATTGGTTAATACACTCTCTGCCTATTGGTCGATATACATCTGTTGGTCGGGTAACTTCTCCAATTGGTTGATGCACATCTACTATTGATTGATGCTCGTCTCCTATTGGTTGATGCAGGTCTTCAACCTATCAAGCTGTGGGGGGAGAGATACGAAAGGTTTCTTCATTATGTGCGATCATTTGGGCAACCTAACCTGTCGAGGCTGAGGTATAGAACACGTCGGTATTATTGTGTTTTAATATTTACAAATACAAATTAGGCATAAGACTATTAGTAGTAGTTTGTGCATAATACTGTAGTTTTGTTCTATGAACAGCCAGAGGAACACGTTAGGTAAAGTTGACCAGACCACACACTAGAAATTGAAGGGACGACGACGTTTCGGTCCGTCCTGGACCATTCTCAAGTCGATTGTGTATGTTGTGTATATGTTCTCACAATCGACTTGAGAATGGTCCAGGACGGACCGAAACGTCGTCGTCCCTTCAATTTCTAGTGTGTGGTCTGGTCAACATACTTCAGCCACGTTATTGTGACTCATCGCCTGCACGTTAGGTAAATAGTGTTTACTACTAGTGTTCAGGAACACATATATCAGGAAGAACATCTTCAGCCTTGGAGTTATAAACTTGTGGAATGGCTTACAGGAAGAGATTATTCAAGGAAATTCCGTAAACAGTCCGGAAAAAATAAACATTGATAAGGAGCTTGAGGAGAGAAGGGTCACTGTATTGAACACTAACCGGAGATTAAGGGCTTACCTGTTACCTAGCAGTAAATAGGTACCTGGGAGTTAGTCAGCTGTCACGGGCTGCTGCCTGTGTGTGTGTGTGTGTGTGTGTGTGTGTGTGTGTGTGTGGCGTGGAAAAAAAAGTAGTTAGTAAACAGTTGATTGACAGTTGAGAGGCGGGCCGAAAGAGCAAAGCTCAACCACCGCAAACACAACTAGGTGAATACACACACACACACACACACACACACACACACACACACACACACACACACACACTACTCACCTCACCGCTCCTGGTCAAGAGACAGCGTAACATGGGCAGAAACTGGGTCTCGGTGAGACCAATACTTCGGAAGAACCTCTCGAGGCTGTGGTGATGGCGGCACCTGTTCCTACCGAACTCCCGCGAACCTGCGGGAAGAATGTCCACTTTATACCGTCCTTCTGCGGCCCACTCTCTTACAGTTAGCTGTTGTTGTTGTTAAAGATTCGCTACCTGGAACAAAAAGTTCCAAGTAGCACGGGCTATGGTGAGCCCGTAGTGCCTTTACACAGTTAGCGTGTAGTGTATGGAGTGCGGCCGCTCCCCTATGCAGGCGAGGAGTCACAATAACCTGGCTGAAATATGGTGACCAAACCACACACTAGAAAGTGAAGGGACGACGACGTTTCGGTCCGTCCTGGACCACTATCCAGTCAATTGTGGTCCACAATCGGATTGAGAATGGTCCAGGACGGAACGAAACGTCGTCGTCCCTTCACTTTCTAGTGTGCGGTTTGGTCAACACACCGGTATGTTTATATACTAGACAGGTAATCTATCTAGTCTATGTAATCTATCTATCGGATTTATACTAGATAGATCCGCTATGATTATATACTAGATAGGTAACTTCAAGGTAGACGCTGCAAGAATTTAATTAGGAGAACCCTGAATAGGAAAGAGAGAGGGGTTGAATCCTAGATGGATAAAGCAAGCCAGTTCCCCCTAGATACTAACCGGAGCCCCCGGAGCAGTGTGGCCTGGGGTTGGGGATATCTATGGCGGTGATGTTGTAGCCTAGCTCCTGGGCACAGGCCGTCACGTTGGCCAAGAACTGGGCCTTGATGGTTGCATTTGGAGGCTGTGGTCTGCCCTGTATCAGACAGTTCCTCATGTTGGCTTGGCACTGGGTAGTGTTGGTCTGGTTACACAGCTCCAGTGCTGTGTTACAGAGGGGAATTAGTGTTTATTATAGAGTTTCTGGTCACAGGAGCTCTTTCAGAGATTGGATACTTAAGGTAACATCAATGTTTATGTATATATTTGTTTAAACACAGGCGTGTACCAGCACCTCCACCAAACACACCACTCCACACACACAACGCACAATTACTATTAATGAATACATACACACACACACACACACACACACACACACACAGAGTTGAGAGGCGGACCGAAAGAGCAAAGCTCAACCCACGCAAACACAACTAGGTGAATACACACACACACACACACACACACACACACACACACACACACACACACACACACACACACACACACACACACACACACACCAGCTTGACTTACTGAGGTTGATGAAAAGGGAAGGAGGTCCATGGTTGTGGCAGTGTGGTGGACCGGGCCAGCCTCCTCTCCTGGGGCCGGCGGTCACCACCACCACTGTCACCGCCAGCACCGCTAGCACCGCCACTGTCACCGCCACACTCCTCATTACCGTATATGATGGCCTTCACGGGGACAGGCAGGTCGTAGCTCCTAGACAGGGATAAGAAGATCGTCGCTTTTAGACGCAGTAAAGGTCTTTTTCCACTAGACAGGCAGACGGAAGTCGCTAGACAAGTTAATGGAGGTCGACATCGTTGGACGGGGAGCAACGAGGTGCCTCGAACCAGCGATCAAAGAACTCCCAGTCGCAAACCTTACCCCTGTACCACGACTTGCCACAGGTTACACAATCTGGGATCCCACCGAATCCACAGGAAGTCTGGAGGCTTCTACGGAAGCCTCCAGACCAAGTTTAACCCATTACCTACACCAGAGAGCTTGGGAGGGGGGGGGGGGGATGTTAAGCAGATCATCAAGCGTACATGCCAGTTCCAGATTCACACGTCGTGGCACAGTGGTAAAGTGCGCGGCTGGGAGTTCTTAGATCGCTGGTTCGAGTCGCCTCCACTGCTCCAGTTGGTTTTCTCATCGATATGCGTCACATTAGGGTGATTTTTTTGTGTTTATATAATGAAGTCTTCGCCGTTGGACAGAGCGGTGTCGTCTTAGTCAGAGAGACAGAGGGGGGGTCGTCTTAGTGAGAGTCAGAGGAGGTCGTATGCAGGAGACGTCCATAACCTACACATTATAACAGTTAAGACTGGGAAAATACGATAAATGCTGAAAAAGTTAGAAAATTAGATTTTCCCCAAATTAGAAACCTAAAAATTCGTAGCCCCTGGGGGCCCAGAGTTACACCCAGGGAAAGACGGTACACCCAGGGAGCTAATTGTCACACACTCGCCTACCACACCTGGTGACGGGTCGTGTAGGGGGAAGCAGGAACCAGGAGTGTTGTTGTAGTGGCGACTGGTCGGTGGCCTATGGTTGTGTTGTGGATGGGGACCCATATATATACATATATATACTCCAACACACACACACGCCCACAATGTCCACAGGTTTGTGTCAGTAGAGGTTGAATTGTGCCTCGATTGTTGCATCAGTCCGTCATGACGAGGGGCGAGCTATTCATGTGAGTGGGTGATTACAGTTTGATTCGTTTGTTAGGATAAGTGCCTCCTGCCTTGCACATTTGCAACCTGAGAATGCCAACCGCCTCACAGACCAAGCAAGTACCGGAGATACCTAGCCCCTCCCCAGGCAGGGCTTCAGGAGTAGAAATATTCTCCAAATGGACAAAAAATTTAAACTCTTGATAATATTAGTAACTGTAGCTTACATGTGGGGTGCCTCTATACATTTATGTCTGTATTCCTGTGCCTATTTGTCAGTGTTGTTCTGCTCTGTTTGCCAACCCTGAAATGGGAACACAGGACACTGTTATGCAACAAGATGTGAACACTGAACACTGTCACAAAACAAAATTTCGGGTGATGGGTAATTTAAAAGTAGGTATAATTGAAAAAAATAGCTCGACAGTCATTGCATTAGACAACCGGTGGCTAGAAAGTCGGGGTCAAGGAGCTGAAGTTCAATCCTGTAGGCACAAATGTACACACTCCTGTCCCTTCTCTCTCAACGTGTCGTTTCACACTATCCTTACGTTTATATAATTATATTAACAATGGACAAATCTACAGACATATCCCGGAGGATGACAGGATGTAATCTGTCAAAATTATCACGCTGTCTGACATTTACGTGCCGGAGAATGGCGCACCCGCATGGCTATTAGGTTATGAGAGAGAGAGAGAGAGAGAGAGAGAGAGAGAGAGAGAGAGAGAGAGAGAGAGAGAGAGAGAGAGAGAGAGAGAGAGAGAGAGAGACAGACCTCCATGGTTAATTCAAGTTCTGGGTTAAAGGGATGGGATTAGAATGGTCAGCTTAAAACTGGAATTCATTAATGGCGACTACCTGTCAATCTATGATAACATTCTTAAATGACAAATAAAAGGCAATATGGAGCCTTTCGGTGTCCCACTCACTACATTTCTCCAGTCAGATTCATTTCCATTTAGGACAACCCTTTGCTTTCTCTCTTTTTAACTATTGCTTTATCCGTTCCAGTATTCTATCATTTATTCCATATCCTTTTAATTTCCTTTCGCTAAAGCTTTTAATCAAAAGCTTTAGCGAAGTCCGTGTAAACTACATCTACTGAAAGTCTTTTGTCTGAACTGTGTGTTACCGTCTCCAAAAATGAGAGCAGGTTTGTAAGGCAGGATTTATCTTTAACAACAACTATGTTATGTTGATGTTACAAGATTGTTCACTGTGAGATGGTGAACGATTCCTTCCCGTACAATTCTCTCCGTGAGCTTGTAAACGTGCTGATCGGCCCGCAGTTTTCTGCCGAGATCTTTCTGCCTTTTTTTGAAAATGGGGATAACAATGGTATCTATCTAATCTATTAGAACTATCCCTTGGTCCAGAGATTTTCTGAGAACGAGTTTCAGTGGTAGGTAGAGTTCATCTCCCAGTTACTTTATTACTTTGCATTGAATTCCGTCCAGAGCTGGGGATTTTTTTTTTTTGAGATATATACAAGAGTTGTTACATTCTTGTACAGCCACTAGTACGCGTAGCGTTTCGGGCAGGTCCCTGGAATACGATCCCCACCGCGAAGAATTGTTTAACAACCAGGTACCCATTTTACTGTTGCGTTAAACAGAGGCTACAGTTAAGGATTTGCGCCCAGTAAATCATCCCCGGCCAGGATACGAACCCATGACAAAGCACTCGCGGAACGCCAGGCGAGTGTCTTACCACTACACCACGGAGACTTTAAAAAAAATCTTTCAAAATCTTTCAATGCGTCAGTTCTCTTCCTTATTATGTCGTACGTTATTGGAATATTGCGTAATTCGCTCTCTCCACCTGTCTCAAACATTTGTTGGGTATTGATGTTGTCTAATGTCTGTGATGTGAACACTGATGTAGGTTTCCTATCACCCGACAATGGCAAACGAGACTATATTCATAATTAAATGTTTTACTCATTTATCTTCTCTAGTATAGTCCTAGTGTTTGTTGTATAGTCTTGTCACTAAATTTTGTCTCTTTGATTTCAGGTACGTATTGTAGAGCGTTGTGTTTACTGGCCTTGGACCGGCTGAGGTAGGTCGGTTATTTTCTGTTTTATCTAATGAGCATTTATATAGTACCATAGATAGTAGTATTATAGTGTTCATCACCTGGTCTTCTCTTGTGGAACATTTAAATAACGATAAAGTGAGTTACTCTTGATAAAAGTAAACCATATAATAATAATTATAATTTTATGGTCTGCTTTTTAGGGACGCCCAAATTACAGTAGTTTACGTATTGGAGTATCGTTTTCTTTTACTATTAAGTATAAAGAAAACGTCTATTTTGGTATTTTGGAGACGCCTCAACACAAGGGGTGACTAAACCACAGGAAAAAACTCTTGGGCCATCCTGACGTTGAGCAGACATCTTGATATCTGCGATCCGCCTGGGTCCCGCCGGTCAAAGGAACACGATTATTGCCCCTTGGGTTTCAATACCCTGTATTCCTCTTCATCGGTCCGCTTTATGCGACGCCCGGGGTCACAGGCAAGTTGGAAGATGTTTTACCTGTTTTTTTTCGGCTTGGCCGGGATTAGAGGGCTTGGAGGACTTCCGAAGTGCCCTTGAAAGGGTGGCGGGCATTTGGCTTGTGCTCTGTCAGATGCCACTGGAAAAAGTTACAGCATATTTTGCACCATTGAAACGCCCGAAACGTTATGCGTGCTAGTGGCTTTACAAGAATGTTAATTCAACTTATTTTCTATATTCTCTGTTAACCCCCCAATGTAACTTCTTGTATATATATATATATATATATATATATATATATATATATATATATATATATATATATATATATATATATATATATATATATATATATATATATATATATAAATAAATTGAGTTTAGAGTTTCGGAGGGATCTTTGTAGTTTTTGTCGTTCGGCTTCGACATAGTTCATAAAATACTTTACGCCTCTATCGTCTGGGGGTCACTGAGCAACCCATTCTCGCGCTTTCTTACAGTCAATATTGACTTATTAAATAAATGCATATGTGACATACTAATTTATTGTGAATATTTTAGTTTACCTCGAAAAGCTTCATAGAAAACACCGACCTTACCTAACCTTCTTAGTATGTTAAGATAAGCATCTAATTGCTTCGTAATTACAATTATTACTTAACCTATACCTATAATAGGTTAAGTAATAATTGTAATTACGAAGCAATAAGATGCTTATCTTAACATACTAAGAAGGTTAGGTAAGGTCGGTGTTTTCTATGAAGCTTTTCAAGGTAAACTAGTATGTTTAGTATGTCACATATGCACGTATTTAATAAGTCAATATTGACTATACGAAAGTGCGAGCGGTCTGGCACTCCGCTCTGAGAAGGATGCCGGGGGTTGCCAGGCGTCTGCTTGACACAGCAGTGTCAAGCAGATCCCATTACTATGCTGAAAGGCGCAGTAGTTTTCAGCCAACAGGCGACGTATAGCCGTCAAGCTCCGTTGTTTTCAGACGTGGAGAGGACGAGGTTCATACGACCCTGTGATGTAGCTGCCCCTAACCCAGTAACAACAATTGGAGTTAGGTTGGGTATAATTCATTGTGTTTGGGGGACAGGCAGCCAAAGTGTATTTATATACGTTAGGCTTATACCGAGGTCTCCCCCAGGGTCGAATTACTGACCCCACCCAGGATGCAACCCCACAAAAGGAAAGAAAAGGAAATGCGTCCAACCTTTTACTTTCCTTTCCTTTTCGCATTTCCTTTCGCCTACCCCCTCAAAAGGTAGGCGAAAGGACATGCGTCCAACCATTTCGGTCCCGCACGGAATTCAAACCCGGAATTATTAATTGTGAGTCAAGAACAAACCGGACTGTACTACCAGGTATAAACAGGAGCTGCCAAATACGAAGCAGTAGGCCTTTTACCGGTGTACTGGCCCGTACTGCCCCGTACTGGCCCGTACTGGCCCGTACTGCCCCGTACTGCCCCGTACTGGCCCGTACTGCCCCGTACTGCCCCGTACTGGCCCGTACTGGCCCGTACTGCCCCGTACTGGCCCGTACTGGCCCGTACTGGCCCGTACTGCCCCGTACTGGCCCGTACTGCCCCGTACTGCCCCGTACTGCCCCGTACTGGCCCGTACTGCCCCGTACTGGCCCGTACTGCCCCGTACTGCCCCGTACTGGCCCGTACTGCCCCGTACTGGCCCGTACTGGCCCGTACTGGCCCGTACTGCCCCGTACTGCCCCGTACTGGCCCATACTAGGCCAATACGGGCCAGTACAATGGCCTACTTTGTATTGAATAATACACTTTCCTGTATTATTATATATCGAATTTTGACGCCAAAATCCCCAACGGATAACATATGATGTATTATAAATCACAACAGCTCGCCAACATTCACGTTTTCTATGCTTGGGTTGCTCGGTCGGTGTAGTTAGGCTAGGTTCGGTTCAAGTGTTTTAGTGCACCGTTTTCTGTCTGTTGAGGTAACTTGAGAGGAAGGGTTGAATGTGCACATCTCGAGGAGTATAATGTAAACATTCGTAGGTAAAACTTTTAATGTGGTGAACAACAGTGGTGAGGATGTTACCAAACATGAGTTACGTGCAAAACATCTAAACAAAACTACAGTAGTAAATATGCCACACAATACGGATTTCCGACGACAGAACAATGATAACAAAACCTAATGAAGGTGAGGGTCGGCCGGGGTGACTATGGGCTGAGGTGTCCTTGGTGTCCTGGTCAGCCTGCTGTCCCCACTGACTCCAGGACAACCCCCGTGGTCACTGGGGACCACGGGGGTCCCCAGTATCAACCCCCCCGGAAGTCGTATGTGGCTCCTCCAGGTGGTGGCGGGTCGTGTGGTCCGCCCAGGGTG